TACATTGGTAAACACTGCATGAGCGGCCATGTAAAGGTTACCGCCGCAATGGTAACAGATAAAGAGACATACGAAATCTATTTCGTTTTGTCTGCAGAGTGGTCTCTATAAAGTAAAACCTCTTTTTGTAACCTAATAAAGATTACTGTGGGCGAAACGTTATCAGTATATGTCCCATAACTGCATTTGTATCTTCTTAGTATCACTGTGTATGCATATTTATTTCTCGTCGTATATGTTCTTGGACACTAATGAATACATCCACGATGATGCTTGGTTTATTTTAAGCTCCACATACTACTAGTCTTATTCAGGCTGAGAGCAGCTAAGAATACTTTAATCTTTAAACAGGGATTAAACTCAAGTACATATACACACCTCTTTGTATATACCTGCGATATATGGTATAAACCTTGGTAATAAATACCGACAAGTTGGTTTAGAAAGACACGTAAGCAAACACTAAACCACCTGTGATATATACACACATGTCTGCGGCACAAGTTTAAGTATGAACTTGACCAGAGTTCTTTGTCAGATGGCTAAAACTCTTAATATATAAATGATAAAGTTTTTCTTAGCAGTGTGATTTAGGGACGATTTTAATGTGTAATATATTTCACTGCAACGGAAAGGTTTGAACCGAAGAGTCTCTAAATCGTCTACTCAAGAGTCCTTTCACCTGGTCACTACTGCTAGGTGAAGGTTCGTAGACCAACTGACATGTGCAGCTACTCTGCTCGATTTTATATAAATCATTCATCTTCTGATTGGCTTCACAATTTAAGGTACTGTAAAAACCATACTTGCATTGTTATTGATTATAGTTATAAATTTAACTATATACACAGGTGTTGCATCAGTAAGCCACATCAATGTCATTCTTTAACAAATCTGTTAATAGTTTTCCATAGCAAGCAGGCACGAAGCATTTATGATTTTCTTTTTAATTTTATTTAGTAACACATTGGCCGTTTCCCACCCAGGCAGGGTGACCCAGAAAATAAGAAACACTTTCATCATTCACTGTCTTGCTAGAGGCGCGCCTGCACTAGTCATAAAACTGCAACTTATCAACGCTTTTATAAGGTGTCTTAAGTTCTATGAAGTTACTACGCAAGCTGAATTTACATTCTGGAGGAGTACGTTGTAGTGGTGCTGGAGTTACTGTTTGATAGGTCATTTGCAGTGTGATGTCGTTGCCTTCTGGAAAGACAGCTATTGACTCATTGATGGTGAACTTTTATTTTTTGTGTGTGGGGGGGGGGGATACTCTGTTTTGTTTGGACTAAATCGATTTGTTATCCGACTCTCAAAAGCTATTTTCCTTTCGCTGACAACGGATCGTACTGTGTCGCCATTATCAGATGTTACCTCAAAGAATAAACACCAACATATCACCTTCTCCTGTGTGGACCTTGGTGGCGTGGAGAGGAGCGCGGAGGTGGTTTACGAAGGGATAATCAATAAAACTGTTAAATATAAACGTTGCAGTCACTCGACGAGTTTTGGCTCTAGTGAAGGATGCACAGCGTTCAGCATCACTGATGAATGTTGCTATGTCTCTTATCTCGATCAAAAATTTCGTTTAGGCGAACGAAACCTCACATCACTCGTTACTTTCTTTTCAAGTTCTTTGTGAGCACCACCAGAAAACGTTTGTATACATAAAATTTTATATTCATGTCTACGAGGTCCATATATAGAGCGATACCTTCTCCCCTACGAACCCTTCCAGACACCATGGTAGTGGCAACACGTTCTTCGTAGACAATTTCTCATCATAGTTGTATGAAGTTCCTGCCAAGCCATGAAAGCTTGACATCACTTTTCACAGACTGGAAGAACAACAGATTCACGGACTGGAAGAACAACAGATTCACGGACTGGAAGAACAACAGATTCACGGGCTGGAAGAACAACAGATTCACGGACTGGAAGAACAACAGATTCACGGACTGGAAGAACGATCAACCAGCCGTGGGTACATGTTCCAGCGAGCCAGTCAACTGTCAGTCATCACAACTGTGCTGCTTCATGAGGTCATTCCTTCACCTTGTAAACTCTTGTACGTTTGAACGTGTACATGGAAGAAAAAAAGTTACTCCACTAGTCCATGTATGCATGTTCGTCTGCCCACGTATGTATAAATGTATTTTCATTATCTATATGCAGGTGAGTTGGGACATGTCAAATATCTCATACACACGCTCACACTTCAGTATCAAGTGGAAGGGCCACTATGTTTTTGTTTTCCTTCTATTTTTCCTATTTTTTCATTTTTTCTGTTCTTCCCTTAATTACCATCCCCGTGTCATTATCATGTATCATGGTTATTAACTTTACCTTAATTTGTCGAAAGTTACGGGCAAACAATGTTCGACTCCACAATTCTCCTTTATGTAATTATTCGCAGTGTACAAATTTCAAAATCCTTATTGTGGTTGCAGTCAGGTGGACGATGGAACACACAACTGCTTCCAATATTTGTTCTAACATCTCGTGTTAATAAACATGTTATTCAAAATTTGCATCTGTTTTTCACACTTTTTCCAGAGCCAGCTTGCAGGCTCTGGAAACCTTGGGTTTAGTTTTGACTGATAATCTGTTGGTGTGATATCAGTAAGCCACATCAATGTCCCCTTTTTTTGGACAAATCATATTTATTATAGCTTCCCATAAGAAGCTAGGAATGAAACGTTTACTAAAATTCTCATACAGGTTTCTAAACTACATAAGATTTTCCAGCAGGAAAATATGCAGTTAACATGATTTGCTGTTGGTAATGTTGATCCTTGAAAATATTATTTATTATCTGGATGGAACCCAAAAACATATTTTGGGAAACACAGACGATACTACAGATATTTTCACTTGTTGGTCAAGACATGAGAAGTTGTAATTAAAACATCTGTTTACCATTGTATTCTAATTTGTTGGAAGGTTAAAAATTATTTGTTTAGAGTGTAAAAATGTTGTAATTCTGGACAAACGTTAAGGTCATCCTTTACATATCTCAGCAATATTTGATCAGCAAGTAAAATGAGTTAATTCATTTTCAAAGTATTCTATAAAAAAATTGGCTACGATTGGATCAGTGGATTTCCCACTGCGCTACCATAAGTTTGACTGTAAAAAGTATCGTTAACAAGAAATACACTTACCATAACACAGCTACACTAACTTAATAACTTTGCTTGTACTGGGTTATCTAGACTCAGGCTCAGCAAAACTTAGTTTGAAATTAACTAGACTAAAGAAATGCATGTAACAACTAACATATTTCCATTTTGTTAAGTTTAAACTATCCAGTTGTTAGAGGAACGAACTGGAGGCACCAATTATTACCTGCAAGAGTTTCCTTGTTTCCCACTAACTTCCTTCAAAGATTTAATTTATAACTTCTATCGCCTTATTTAAAACCTTCAAATTCTGAACCATGGTTAACTATAACTAGTGAAAGGTTCATAGAACTGGCTTGCGCAGATGCCCTCTGTTCAATTTTACATGGGCCATTTCCGATTTTGGTTCCAATGAATTACGTTATAAATCTTCTGGTGGTCGGTTTCAGACGTTGAACACTCGTGTATCCTACTTGAAAGAATGTTGACATTGTCACTGGAGTGTTTAGGTGCCAGTTTGCCAGCATAAATTTCGAAATGGTTCATATATATATTCCATTAAACTTCTGGAGTATGCCTCTCACTATTTTTTTCAGTCTTTAATGGTTTATTTATGTTATGAAATGGATGAAACTTTGGGAGGATTTAGGCTTTGTAGGTGCAAATTTCACGAGTTTTCTCATACTTCATGAAAATTTATGAGGACTGACGTCCAATATAACAGACACGCGTAAATCAGCTGGCTTTAGTCACGTGGTTGCAAAACTTTAATAGATACATACTATCATAATACGTACACATTGTGGCTGGCAACCTTGAGTACCAAGCTTTAATTTTTAACAGAGTTTCTTGCCGGCGTATTGATTAATGCTATTAGCGATGTCACTGAGCAGACCCTCAGGTTATGGTTACAGGAGTCTCATACTGCTGCCTCGACTCACCAAACTTTCTGCTGGAGTGGAGCTCTAGCGCTTGGACCCATGCAATAGCATTCCTCTGGCAATCTTTTTTGCTTTATTAGTTTAATTTTATTCGTTATTCTGTATTTTAATACACTGGCTGTCTCCCACTGAGATGTGGTGACCTCTTCAAAACGGAAACGCATTCCCCATTACTCATCATTTAACAGCTGTGCTGTCAGACTAAAACAGGCATCAAATGACCCTCCGAACATCCCCACCCTCTCCTTCAGTATACAGGTGCTGTAATTCCCATCAGGTCTTAAGTACGGCTAACCAATTTCCTTTAATCCCTTCACGTTACCTAGCTCTCACTCCAACAGCACATCAATTAGCCTCGATTTAACATGCTCACACAAGTCTTCTGGATGCTCAGTTCCATTTCTGTTTACCCTCTTCCACCAGTTTATCCCAGAGTAACCTCTACAAGTCTTTCCTTACACCTCTGAATTCTAGGTATAATATTCACACCACACATTTCTCTCAAACATGACACTGCAACTGCTTGCAACCCGCTTCTTGCTAGAACGTTTAAAACCCGTACCTCACATTCATTTCCCTTTTCACCTCCATAGATAAGCTTTCTTTCGTGACTCGTAATGTCTCGACACTGAAATTTCCAATCTTCGCAGCTCCTTTTGCTCGTCTTTCTCTGTCTACTCTCATGCTAAACTGTCTTTATTCTCTCCTAATCTTACTTTTATTAAATTTCATGTTCCTTGCCTTCCATATATTTCCATTCTTCAAAATCTTAACACCTTTTTCGTCCTCTACATGAGATATCAAACATTTTTCGTCACACTAATACCCTTCACAACAATTTTGTTCATATTTCTCTGATCATTTATGCTTTCAGTATCTACTCCATCGCCAGCTGCTCCTATCTTCTCCAAAACACTGTTGAAACTGGCCACTCTCTTTAGGACAACATTAGAGCTATAAACACTACTACCTCATTTCTGCTATTTCCACTGCCGTTGCCTTTACTACTACTGTTGCCGCTGTTTCTACGTCCACCACTACTACCATTCTCTTTACTGTATTGTCGTCTGACTTTGGCTCTTTCCTCATACCCAGTTGTGACTTGAGAATAGTGCAACACGGACTCCTGTGGGGTTTCGAGCTTTCATGAATACAATTAATTAATAACGATGATCCTGAGGTGGGGGGGGGAAGAGTAGGGAAAGGAAAAAGCTTGTGTATAAGAGTAGCGTTTCTGTCTAGCAAAAAAGAGGATGAAGATACGAGCCATCGCCACTCCTTGTGCTTAATGACCCACTTGGATTTAGCACTAACATTATAATAAAAATTTTAAGATGCCGAAGTGAAAGAAAAAATAAATCGAGCGTTTATTTCTTCAAGATATATAATACTACTAAAACCAGAAGCAACACCTTCCAACTCAACCAGTTGCAAGAGTTAATCTTCTACCATGCAGCCACTAACCCATGGAGGAATCTGCCTATGATCAGTGTTTATCTTTAATATATAATTAGAAAACTAATCAAGCACACTATGGAACCCTTTATATAAGCTTCCTTTTCCCAGCAAGACAATAAATTAGGACAGTCTGAACGTAACAAAAGGAAAGAGTTCACTCACCGCTTTGTACTCCCACTCGTCCTCCTCCATCATGGAGGGTGTCTGGTCGTTTTCAGTCTCCCAGGAGAACTTGAAGGCCCTTTTGGATCCTGTTGACCCGTTGCTGCTCCCTCCGCTGCCCCCAACAGTTCCATTCGGCCCCCTGGGGCCTCGCCCTCGCACAGTATTCCTCTTTCTCATGGGCTGCAGGAGCTCCAGGTCATCTGCAGCATCCTTGCGCTGATTGCCAGCCTCTCCAAAAGTGTTCTGCCCGACGATACCCAGGGAGTCGAAAGTCTTCTCCAGTTCGTCAATGTCTTTGTCAAGAACCTCATCTTTCTCTTCATTCTTTTTGTCATCTTTTTTCCAGTTGAATAGCCTGAAGCCCTTCTTATCTGCATCTTTTCTAGAAATATCCTTGTTGCTTTTGTCCACATTATTCTTGTCATTGTTTTTCTTCTCGTCACTGAATTCGACGACGAGTTCATCAGCCTTTTCATCATCTTCCTTCTTGCGAGTGAAGCCAAATCTCGTCTTTTTCTTGGGTTCTTCCTTTTTATCCTCTTCCGTGTGGTTATTCTCCACCACCTCTTCCTTGCTCCCGCTAGCTTCAGAAACCTCCGCTAGGGTCTTCGCGAAGGTTTCACTGGCAGTGTTCTTGCTTGTGACTCGAGTGGGGTCAGGGGGAGCTACATGGTCAGTCTCCCATTGTTCACTGGTGGTGGACAAGCGATCAGCATCCTCACTGTTGCCCGGTTTAACCCCTTTGGCACTCCCGGCACCCATGGTGGCACTCCTCGCTACTTCACTCTCTTGCAACTCTTATTTTAACTTTCATTATTGCATGTTCTTTCTTTTATCAATTTATTGCTTTACACGTGAAGAACTTATATGAGAATGTCGTAGCCAATTATTCTTAAAGCAACTGACGCTCACCTTTTACAAAACTTCAGGTGATGCATTTTTGCTATTCTTTGAATTATCTGTTCTTAAAGTTGAACACTTACCCAACAACACATTAGAAACTCAAATACAGGCAAGAGACTTCACAGCACTTTTTTAAATTGGTTTATATATATATATTTTTTTGCTTCTAGCTATAAATGATTATGAAACTTTTTCCCCACTTATAAACATCACCTTATTGCATCATAATGATTATTAGATCATTCGTACTAGTTTGTCTGACGATTAACAGACGAAGGATCGAGCTTCCACCATTCCTTGTACTGAACGAACCACAGAGGGTTTATCGCTTCACATCTTCATACGTGACGCTTCGTCTCCTGCCATTCTAAGTGAGGGTCGCCACGAGAGGTCATCAGCCCTGCTAATAGAGACAGCCTTCTCAAAATTCACCGTTTTTCGTAATGTTGAGTAATATCGATTTTAACCTCTGCCTTCACCGTACTCCGTCAGCCCCAAGCTGTGAATAAAAGATTTTTTTTATTACATATTGAGAGAGAGAGAAAGAAATTGACAAGGTGGATAGGGACAAAGTTTTCGAGATGGGACACAGCAACAAGTGGTCACAACTGGAAGTTGAAAACTCAGATGAGTCACAGGGATGTTAGAAAGTATTTCTTCAAAGTTGTCAGGAAGTGGAACAATCTGAAGATTGAGACACTTATGCAACACATGGGAATCTTTATTCAGGAAGCGTTTCGCCACACAGTGGCTTCATCAGTCCAATACAAAGGAGAAAGGTGTAAGGAGAGGAGGAGTTTGAGGTAATCAGTCCCTCAGCCTGGAGTCGATGTGTTCAGTCCATCAATCTTGTAGAATGTACGAAACGTTTCATGAATAAAGATTCCCATATGTTGCACAAGTGTCTCAATCTTCAACTTGTCGATTTTTCAAACCATTCATCACAATCTGAAGACTGATGTAGTGGAGGCAGGATCCATGATTAGCTTTAAGAAGAGGTTCGATAAAGCTCATGGAGCAGGGAGAGAGTGGACCTAGTAGCGAGGGGAGGGGCCAGGAGCTGTGAATCGACCCCTGCAACCACAAATAGGTGACTGTACAAACACACGCACACACAGCTTGGGAATAGTGTATCAGGTCTTTATATTGGATTTTATATTCCTCAAACACAGACATTTTAGCGTCCGGAGCTGTAAATAAGCACTCTGAAACAGCCCAGGAGCTGCAACTCTACCACATCAGTCACTGCTAAAAAACGAGATCAAACAAATGATCCATTATGACGTGTTTTAGGGGTCAGAGAATTGCAAATCAAAAAACCCTGAAGAGATCCAAGAGCTGCAGTTCAGCCCTGTCGCTAATCACTTTGAAAGAACAAACTCGCACAATACCGTGACTGGAACAATACACAAATAACCCGCACATAGGAGAGAGGAGCTTACGACGACATTTCGGTCCGACTTGGACCTCTGAAATTTGGAGTAAATTGGGTACGGGGTTTAGCAGGTATCATCGAGTCCCTATGATGCTTATTGGCGTTTTGTTTTTTTGCACATTTTCATTCAATGTGTACAATATGCATCTTTAAACTGTCGGCTGTTGCACCAGACACAAGGGTGACAGGTAGTAGGCGATGCAACCAAGTGACGGGTAGTGATAGGTGATGCAACCAAGGCATAGAAATGATTGCAAAATCATCCCAGTGTAGCCTCCATGATTACCTTCAAGCTTTTAACACTGTTATATCTTTAATAATAAGGATTTTGGTTGCTAATAGTTTGTGTACGTACCAATTTTAAATTTCCGTTACTGCATTTAAAATGAAAATTGAATCAAAATATTTTATAAGAAATTTAATATATATTATAATCATAACTACGCGTTAAACCCATAAGGGTCATACATCTCTGCTGTATCCGTTGTTTTTAGTGAGTGTGGGATTACACCCGTGTCTATGCTCCCTCTCCATAGCATATTTAAGGCACGAAAAAGGTGTTTCTTGCAGTTCTTAATGAACACTGAGTTCCAAGAGTGCGAGCATGGGGCCGAGCGCATGGACATGTTGTCAACTGGCCTTTTCAAAGTCCAGTAGAGTTAGGATTAATGTCAGAGATCTGGCATACATTGACAAGGTTTTGAGGTTCATTCATATAAAAAATAATTTGGATTGTCGACCTTTAGGCTGATTATGGTTTACTAAACACATTCGTACTGAGACTTCAGTTTCTTACTCATTTCTTTGTTGTCATCTGTATACGTTCCACCTTGTCTGAGCAGGAGCCCGATACTAGATGTGGTTTTTGCTTTGTTTTCGACATATGAAAAGGAAAATTTCTATTTCTATTTCACCAACTGCTTTTAGTTACTCCTGTCGCTCCTGGATCCTGCATGAATCATTTAAGTTAAATTTAACCTCAATATTTTCCACTTCCCTGGTCAGTGCTTCCTTTCATCTTTCAGATAATCTAGAGTTCTTGAGGAGCTCACTGATTTTTCGCCTTCTCCTGCAGAGGGAGTCTCTCCCTCTCTCTCTCTCTCTAGTTTACTTCTCTTCTCTTTTCACAGGGGAGTATGCCTTGAGCATACTTCAGCTGCCAGGAAGTTGATCTTTTCAAAGTACTGGTTTGGATTCATGTTATTTAAAATATCTTCCCAACATGCTTTACCTGATCTCAGTTGATGTTTTTGTTGTTGAAGTTAAATTTGGTGAAGGGACCCTCGTAGCTGTGTGCACTTTGCTAGTCAGGACCCATGTGCATGTAAATCTGGACTTCGCTCAGATTGTGAACCGAATTAGTTGTTTTTGATATTATATTTCTTACCAGGTATTCATTATTTGTAAAAATAAGGTCAAGTGTGTTTTCCAGTCTTGTTGGCTCCATTATTTGCTGGCTTAGGGTGTATTTATTGCAGAGATTCAGCAACTCATGTGTGTGTGACTTTTCATCTGCACTGCCTCCAGAGATTGTCTCTATTTCATTATTTGCTACATTCTTCCATTTTGTATATCTTAGATTGAAATCAGCAAGCAGCAAGATGTCTGGGACTGGGGTTGGAAGATTTTCCAGACAGTAATCAATTTTCAATAACTGTTCCTTGAACTGTTGGGAAGTTGCATCTGGTGGCTTATATTCAAGCACAATGACTAAATTTTGGTTCTCGATCTTTATTGTTAGAAATTCAATTACATCATTTGTGGTGTTAAGCATCTCCGTGCAAATGAGCGACTCTGACATACAGGCCAACTCCCCCTTGTTGCCTGTTCTTTCTGTTGCATCTATGCAAGATGTTATCCATATTTCGCTGTCAAAGTGGTCTTTTGAGTGGGGTCTGTGAATGCTGCAGACACTGCATTTGACTCCTCTAGAAGTCCACTGATGAAAGGTATTTTGTTAGTGGTGGATAGCTTGAGGCTCTGTATATTCGCAAATACAAATGAAGTCGTCTGTGTGTTTGTTGGGGGATTTTGTTGTTGGCATCAGTAGTTGTGGTTCTGGAGGGTCGGGGAGAGTCGCTGGCTGTGCCTCCAGTCCAGCAAGGCTCCAAGATGATGACTATTTTGGTTATTTCTTTCCATTTTCGTTTCCTGCCACTAAAAAAAATCACTTGGAGTGGGAAATAAATGTGACTGCTGTAAATATTTTGGAATGCTAATGGGACCTGTGGGTTAGAGGTGACGCTCAGCGACCCATAACACATCTTCATTTACTGAGGTGTTATAGATCATGCATTTTGAAATATAAGAATACATATTTTTCGGATATTGGAGTTGTATGTATATGTGACATATTCTTGCACATGCGGGTTTACAGTGGAAAAATTAGATAAGCTTCGTCTTTGTCTCGGAGTGGCAGTTAGGGCGTTGTTAGAGGTTAGGTAAGGTAAAGTTTGTCAGGAAACAAGACAGTGTTTTCTGACGCGGTCTTAGTCATATGATGACCCGCAGCTGGAGCTTATGGTCATCTGACCGAGGCCTTCAGCTGGCTCACCCCTTCCCCTTAAAAATTATAACTATTCTTACATTGTTAAGATCTTTACTCTCGAAAGCTATATGACACTTACGGGTTTAGAGCGTAGTTATATTTATAAAAATAATTTAGCCAGTGCACTGAACGTCTCATTAACTCTTGCATTTCGAATAATTTCTCTGTTATCTTAATATGTAATTTAAAAAAAATACTATAATTGTTACTGTAAAATGCTAGTGCAAAAATCCTCTCCATAATTTTACCGTAACATTGAATGTTGTATCTAGGAAGCGGGAGCGGGATAGGTTAAAGCTTGTCAGTATACACGATAAAAATGATGCATTTGTGTCCCGGGATGACCAGAGAGCAGCGACCCCTTGCTGCTACACATACTGCTTTAACATACTGTGATAATATTCCCTGTAGACACGAAATTAACAAAATTACATGTATTTTTTCCTCTTTACTGCAACAGGTGCGTGCCTAGAGGTCCCCAGGCACACTGGTTGTGTGTGTGTGTGTGCCTATAAGTGGTTGCAGGGGTCGAGTCTCAGCTCTTAGCCCCGCCTCTTCGCTGCCTTTACAACTCCATTGTTCAGGTCGTTCCATATCCTGACCACTCTAAATCTGAAGAAATACTTCCTAACATCCCCGTGACTGCTCTCTGTTTTCTGGTTCCAGCTGCGAGTGCACGTAGCATGAGATGCGAGGAGCAGTATTACAGGCTAACTTGTAACGCACTTAAAATTTAAAACATAAGATGGACATGATTACAATGTGTATGATGGCAATAAACATGGCATATAAATACAGTCGACCCTCAACTAACGGCAGCATTAAGTAACGACAATTTCGCCTAACAGCGCTTTTTGCTGTAGAAAAAATGCCTTAACCAATGGCGAAAAACTTAACCAGCGACGTTTGTCTGGACATGTCGATGTGCCCGGAGCACAGCCTGAGCGGGCCCAGCCACTCCAAGAGTGCCATTGTTTACAAGCTGTTGCGGTCGGTTTCCACGTGTGCCCCCCATATATTTTGGATTATTCCACTATTTGTAACTGCTAAATAAGCCACCATGGGTTCCAAGAAAGCTTCTAGTGCCAAGCCTGTGTTTAAAAAGGTGAGAATTACGATGGAAATGTACATGTACAATGACACTCTTTTGTCCCATTTTAGGGAAATCCTAAGGGCACGTGAGAAACAGAGCTCTCTGGGCAGCTGTTTTGTGTGACAGGGGTCCAGTGATCTCAAGCAGATCCTAGTGGCATTAAAATACCAAGGAGGGAGGTAACCCCACCAAAGGACTTGGTACCTGAAGTCCTTCTGGAAGGGATTCTCCTTCCAAGCAATAGACAATTCTGAATTTCCCCTGCTTCTGGCATATCACTCATCAACAACTCCACAATAAGGTAAGTGGTATTTAATTATTGTTATTTTGCATGCCCCATTCCTTTCCATATAAGGAAATGTATATTTCATGTAATTTTTTTTTTTTTCAAACTTTGGGTGTCAGGAACGGATTAATTCTATT